AAGAAAATTAGAATTAAGAACGGAATGTGTGTGCTAATTGGATATCCTAAAGAATGAAAGAAGGTTTATTATAGTGTCCTAAAGAAAATAAGGCAATTGTTAACAAAACTGTCTGATTTCTAGAAAAGGGTCATTTAGTAAATCATGTTCCTAGAAGTAAGCTAGTTTTACAGGAATTGAACAAAGAAATAACAAATAAGTCAATTATAAATTCAGGTGCTCAAGAACATCTAATCAGTATGTTAGAATTGATGTTCCATTGCATTTAAGTAGTGGGAAAAATGTTACTAGACATAAGAAAACTACTACCTCAACTAGTGTGAGTGATGTTGAGGAAATGAACACTACATGAAAAGTTGTTAATATTTCAATATCGAAAGATTTTGAAGAAAATATTAAAACTTAATAACATGAAAGTGTGATAATATAGTAGTGCTTAATCATAGTGGGAGAATGATAACGAAGATTGATTTGTTTTGTATGTGTGAGAGAACTTTCATGATATAACTCTAGAAAAGAAGTACACTCTTGTAGAGTTTCATGATAAGGTCCCTCAAGATCTACTACAAAATCGATTAGTTACAACGAAGAATTACTAGACAAAATTGCATGAGAAAATAGCTTGGTAAATTTCTTTCTATAAGAAATAAAGGAATGCATGTGAAAGCTGTAAATGCATAGTTAAGAGTCTAAGTGGGAGATTGTTAGGGTATATACTATTAATCGTGTGTTTAGACATAGTATTCTAACAATTTTCAAGATTAAACAACTAAGTGGGAGATTGTTAGGGTATATACTATTAACCATGCATTTAGATATAGTACATTATAACAATTGTGATGGTTAAAAGTTTTAGTGAGAGATTGTTGGGATATATACTATTAACCATATGTTAAGATATAATATTTATTATAGAATAAATATTTATTCTATTTTAATAGATCATATATTCGTTTATGGTGTCTGTTTACTTATATAGTAGATGATTTAATGTGTAGAGTTTTAGCTTATACACAGAGGATTAAATCATCGGTTCTTATAAGCATAAATTTTTTGTTCACAATCTACGATTGTAGCACAAGATTATATGTAATTTATCTTGATTATGGGAACTGTATAGTTCCAACTTCTTGTGCTAGTGCATTTTGTATGTATTGAACTGGACCGAGTAGAGATAGTTGTTTTAGACTGGCTGACAAAAACATATTCTCTAAACTATTAAATGAACTTATATTCTTAATCCTGATATAAATATTATGATCTGCATGTATTAATTATCGTTTTGCTTTATTAAAAGGTGAGATTTTGAGATGAGTCAATATGCCTGGTAGATTGGATGATAATAATATATATTGGTGAAATAATAAGTTAGTTGATGGAATCCATGTCTCGTTATAGAGATTGATTGATATGCCTTTTTGAGAAACTTATAAGTTTTCATCGTGTCAAACCTTGCAAGTGGATTTATGAATCCGACACATGAAATAAGTTAAGTAGTGCTCTAAAAGAAATTAATCATTAAATTAAATTCGTTAGTAATTTAATTTATTGATTAGTATATGTAATCTTAACATGGGGAATTACATAAGTGTTTAATGGGGAATTTCGAAATATAAATTGAGGAGTGCAATTACGAATTTCTAGTGGAATGATTTATAATTTATTATGGCAAGAATAATTCAAACTAATTATTTGAAATTATTTCCATAATAGGAAGCCTCAGTAATTAATTATGTGGTCCCTACAGTGCCCATATTTAAATAGAACTCAGAATCCTATTTCTAAAGGGAAAAGGGGAGACAAACATGTTTTTTCTTATAAAAAGAAATATGTGTGTATTTTTTCTGGTTGAAAAAAATAGACTGTGTTTTGTTCTTCTCTTTAGACTGGGAAGAAATCTCTACAATTAGAGATTCTTCTAACCCTAGAAAGATCGAAGATTTTCTATTCAATACGTGTCCACCCAAGTATTGAGTGTGTTCAGATGTGAACTTGAGATTATTGTAGAAGACCGCAAACTGCTCTTTAACTTGTGGAGTCGCTTGGATTTGCTTGAAGGTATCTGCTCACTCTTCAAGAGGTAATTCTTGAATTAAATTTCTATAAGTTTATGTGTTCTAGCATATTATATATGTTCTATTATAAATGATTTGGTTATCTATTATTCATGTAAGTAGTAAGATTCTGATATGCTTGCGCTGTACATATAGTTTTCCATCAATAAAAATCCCATCTCACCTAGATATTTTCTCATAATTTATCTAAGACAAAACAAAATATCTCTTCAAGACCTCAATTTTTTTTTAAATCTACTAGTTTTTGGTACTTATTGTAGCTTTTAATTATTTTTTTATTCTTATTGAATCTGGGTTCTCTTCATTTTTCCCCCCTCAAATTCTTACTTAGATTGAAGACACGTAGGATAAAGAAAAAAATGACTAAGATTTAATTAATTAAATGAAGGCTCTAAACATGAGATGAATAATTAATATTTCATAAACAAATTAATGTCAGAATCATTATAATATTATCTTATCCATAATACCTTATAAATTTGTCTCTTTTTCTACTTTTCTTATCTCAACGGGTTGTGAGCATCTATTTTTTTTTAATTGAATTCAATTAATCTTTACTTGCAATTTTTTATGGAACTTTCTCAAATTAGTTATCACAGAGATTATTAGTAGAATGTTTAAATTATCATTTAAAAAAAAGGGGAAGATAGACACTTTATAATTTATGAACAATATAATATGTCTCTATAATTATGGTATTACTAATATTTTTTATAATATACTAATTATCTAAAATAAATCTTTTTTTAAAAAGCAACAACAAATACAAAAAATATTAGATTTTCTTTAAAATAATTTTTGGGGTCTTGAATAGGTATTAAATAAACAATGGAAAAAAATTAGTAAAGGTAGGTTATTATTTCATTCAGAAAATGACATAATAAATATTTTTAAAAGGAAGAAACTAAAGTTGGGGCTGTTAGTTTTGATGGTATAAGTAAGCCAAAAATGTGAATTAAAGGGTATTTTAAATCAAAAAAATGAATAGAAAGATATTTTTAAATCAAAAGATCAACGAAAAAATATTTTAAAACATTTTCCTAAAGTTCAGGAATATTTGGTCCTTTTCCGTAAAATAAATTATACTACTATATTTGTGTAGTAACTCATCTTCCTGTCTTTTTATGGTGCTAATCTAATGTGAAGAGGTCCATAAGTTGATTTTTTGCCCAAAATAGTTACAAAATATACCTAAATATTACTAACATTCAAAATAATAAGGTTATAACTAACGAATATGAGTTTAAAATTAAATTACATAGATAAAACGAATCTCATAATTTAAAAAATTTATACACTAATTAAATTAAAATAGAAAAAAAAACTAATTTTTTTTTCGAAAATAGCAGAGTCTTAACTCTAGAAAAACATAAATAATATAATAAGAAAAATTAGATTATGTAGCCACGTGTTAACCCCATTTAAGGTTCTCGAACAATGTAACGTGATTTCTGATAGGTTTGATAGGCAGGTGGAGATAAGAGGGGTTAACACAACAGTAAATCAAATTGACATAACGTACCAAATTTGTGAATGCTTTAAACTATTACAGATCCACATGTTGTGCTAATTACAAGCACACAATGTGGTGGCCTTTGTATTCTGATGTTATATCCTAACCACCCAAACTAGAAAATCTACTTTCTCTTATCTCTTTCCTTTTCTATGCATCTAATTATATTAATTCCTCACTCAAAACATAATGAAGATAGTTAAATCTTGAAAATTTATTATAAAAAAGAAGAAATAACCTATTGTACTAACCACATGACTAACATATTTATTTTACTTTGAAGTCAATGTACAACATGTATTTGATCATTGTATCACCTAATATGCCAACTACTTTAAATAAAAAAAACGAAAATCCTTGTTAAGCAAGAGTATTATTACTCAAATATTTTAGTACATCACCAAGCCCATCTTTACCAAACTATGATAATTGTGTCTTGCACGATCAGTTACATCATTAGCTTTCCTGTCTCTATCAACCCTGTCTTCAATTTCAAGGCAAAACAACAGTACTTCCTCAATCCTACCGTCCTATAAAATCATAATTTTTTTATAGATCTTTTAAATATTTTGAATTATTAATTATTGTGACTTATAATATTTTTTACGTAGTTTATAAATACATAAATTTCATTTAAAAAATTTGAAGATTTCATCTGCAAATTCCTTGTACAACTTACACTGTTTGACTCTCGAAAAATAAAAAGTGTCACATAAATTGGGATATAGGAAGTATGAATTAGTTTGACTTGATAATTATTATTTTTTTTTAAAAATAATTTTTGAAATTTGTAGTCTAAAATAAATGATAGATGTTAATATGATTATAAATTATTTCATTCATGATAAAATAAATATTTTAAAGTGAAATGATTACTTAATATAGAAACATGTCATTCTTTTTTAGATTGACTAAATATATATCACTTATTTTAAAATGCTTATTTTTTCATTAATTTAATGATTTATAACCATATGATTATATATCACTTATTTTAGACCACAAGTATTTTTAAAAAAATTCTTTGTCAAACTCTTTATCAAATCAAACAAACTCATATAAAATGAGACAGAGAGAGTAGTATTCCTATTTTTTTCTGAGATCTCTTTATTTTTAAGGAAAAACGAAAACTCTAGTCCATGCAGAATTATTGCCACTATAATTTTTTCTTTGAAAAAATATGTGTTTTTAAAAAAAATAATATTTTGTACAGTACTCTCAAGTCTTGCGTTGTTCTTTAAAAAATAGTAATTTATTTGAAGCTGAATTTATGTATGGCACAATAAAAAATAGAAGTAGTGATTTGGCATTTTTCTTTTAATAATAATATAAGTAACTACTCTCTTAGAACTCTTCTGACATCTCTATTCTTAAATATTTCAAGTACTAATTTATATAGTGCACTTGCCAAAAAACTTGGAAATCCCCCAAACCCATTATTTTCTATTTTCCAAGTTATAAGTTTTATCCTGGATTCTTCTCCGAAAGAAAAGATGAGATCAAAAAGCCAAAGCCCTATCAATGTTAAGCTCATTCTTATTGGTATTTTCTTAGTTTTTCTATTGTTTTGGGTACTTAGATCAACTTATTCACCTTCTCCTGAACAACAAACTCAATCTCTTGATCACTCATCAGTTGTTTCAAAGTCATCATCAGAAGATCAAGAAACTGATGAAGATCATCAGTCTTCTTCGCCTTCATCTTCATCTTCATCTGCAGTAGCTTGTCCATCAAACACTTGCAACAAGATATCCCCTTCACTAGCAAATGCTTTAGTCCACTATGCAACTTCAAATGTGACACCACAACAAACACTTAGAGAAATCTCAGTTTCCTTAAGAGTTCTTGAAAAGAAATCTCCTTGCAATTTCTTGGTGTTTGGATTAGGACATGATAGTTTAATGTGGACAGCTCTTAACCATGGTGGAAGAACAGTTTTTCTTGAAGAAGACAAGTCATGGATAGAGCAAATACAGAGCCAATTACCAAATTTGGAATCTTACCATGTTATATATGACACAAGAATAACTCAAGCTGATGAACTTATGGAAATTGGAATGAGTAATGAAGATTGTAAGAAAGTAACAGATCCAAGATTCTCAAAATGTCAGCTTGCTCTAAAGGGGTTGCCTCAACAAGTGTTGGAGATTGATTGGGATTTAATAATGGTAGATGCACCAACTGGTTGGCATGATGGAGCACCAGGAAGGATGAGTGCAATATACACTGCTGGATTGATTGCTAGGAACAAACTAGATGGAGAAACTGATGTGTTTGTTCATGATGTTGATAGAATTGTGGAAGATCAATTTTCAAAGGCTTTTCTTTGTGAAAGTTATTTGGTAGAACAAGAAGGGAGGATTAGGCATTTCAATATTCCTAGCCATAGGTCACGTTTGGGTAGACCTTTTTGTCCTTAAACTACTTTATTTCTCCTAACTAAAAATAATTTTTATTCCCTTGTTGCTTCCCACATGTATTTTCATTCTCCATTTTGTTTCATCTACCTATGGATGTACATTGAGGACTATGTTCATTCCTACTATTATTTTCTATCATATAATAAGTAATATTTGGATTGATTTGATGGTTGAAGAATAATTTAGTTGCTAGGGCTAAGTTCTTCAATATTTATCTAGGTGATTGTTTTAAGCATTCCTTTTAGACATGTAAAAGGGCTAAAAATGCATCTGACTATCCGAATGATGCTACGTTTATGACTCAAAATTGATCTTGTTGATATGTTTTTTGGCACAAAAATATTATTAAAATAGTCAAATAAACTTAGCCAATTAATAGCTCAAAAAGATGTATCGCCAAAATGGCCCGAAAACCTTCAAAAACTGTTAATTTTGGCGTTCCAAATCCCCACTTTGGCGATCCGCTGAATATTTTGGCTATGGTGCCTCCAAATCGCCGATTTGTCAAACGAGATTCATTCGAAAGTCGTTTTCTTCGATTTTCCAGGTCTTCATACATTCTTAGAGGGGTATTCTCACCATTTTACCCTCAATTAACTTCCCTAAGTCCATCTTCTAACCTAATAACCTCCTTATACGTATAACAACTTTCAAAATCCCTTATTATCCTTCTCCAAAAGATCAAGAACTTCAAGAAAAGGATTTCTCATCGCAAGATTTAAAGGCTCCAAGTTCAAGGTTCTTCATAAACTGCCGTCACTAAGGTATGTAGGATTCCAATGAAGAATTCTTCTTATCCTCATGTCCAAAACTCATAAGTTTTTATGAACTTGATTCTATAGTTAGGGTTATCAAATCCTCTTTCGAATTAATTATATTTATGATTCTAACTACATGATTTCTTGAACTTTTTATTCATAATTGTAGATTCTGACTAATTAACTTTCGTTTTATACTTAGTAAGGTTTCTCATAGTCATCCTTATTAGTTCTTGACATGTTACTACTTATGATTCACAAACCTTTTATTTCAAAGCATGATTTTAGAGTCTTTATGATATTATAAAAGCTATTTTGAGAAAATCACAAGTTATGCATGTCCTAGAATTTTTTTAAAGATTTTAAAAAAAAAGAGATTTCAACATATGATTTTAGAAAGAAATGTTTGAGCTTCGTCTCATAGACTTGTGTAAAGTATCACACCAAGATATGTTTTAGAAAGAGATTTTGAGCAAGGCTCATGATAAGCTTAACATATATTTTTATGATCTATTTGGATCGTATGTATTGGGATTAGTATTTAACACCGAGTGAATGGGGGTTCTAGGTAGCCCAACTTTCAGAACTATTTCCGGTGTAGGATTATGTTTCACCAATTTGTCAATTCCTAAGAGGCTGAGATTACTGGATCCACATTAGATAGACATATTCTATACCCTGGCAAGGTATATGGAATCCTCCTAACTGGGGAATTTATTGGTTCATCATAAGCTCACATGGTGTATGTCAGTTATGAGAAACTCTCACATAAAAGATTTATTTCGTTTCTTTTATTTTCTTGATATTATAATTATAAGATTTAATATAACATGATTTTTTTCAGGTATGCATCCTTTCACATATGATGATAGAAAATAGGGTCTCAAATATAAATTTTTGTTTCTGAAATATTATGTCATATGTCACAGTCTTGACTCTCTCACCTTCATTTATCATGGATATATTACTCAGATTTATTATTCTTTCAGTTGTTTGTATATTTGTTGATCTCAGTCCTTACATTGCATACCAATACATTTCATGTATTGACGCTACTTTATGCTACATAATTTTATGATGTATATTTCCACATCCTGATTCATATTCATGAGTAGATGTTCCACTAATTTCCTTTACTTTCAGCATTGTGGTGAGTCCTTTTCGCATTCAGGGACTTCAATTATGAGTTAGTAGATGTTATTCACTTCACTTGTGTTAGCTTTTAGAAAACTTGGGGTCTTGTCCCGACAAATTATCTTATTCAGTTTAGAGGCTTTCAAACATTAGTATTCAGTTGTAATAAATTTAATTTTGAAATTTATTCTGTTATGATTTTTGTTTACAAGTTTCGCTGCAATTTTTATTTTATATGCTTAGATATGCTATGCCACATGTTAGCTTAAGATCACTTGTGATTCCAAGTATCATGTCTCGACTGTGGTGTAGATTAAGATCATGAAAAACATGGTATTTGATGGGTCCATAAATTGGACTCATTTAGGGCTTTATTTTAATAGAAATAGTGTCCTCAAATGCTTATTTTGTCTCAATATCTGATGAAAACTATTAAGTTTCAGGTATTTAAAGTTTTAGCGAAAACATGGACACTTAGGCGCAAAAAGGAACAAAAAGGCTGAAAAGAACGTAAAAACTGAAGCTTGAGCTTCACCAATCACTCTTGGCGAATCGCCGAAGGGAAGAACTCCGCCCTTTGTTCCAGTATGCGAAGCCCTAAAGGAAGTGGATCAAAAAGGCGATGAAAGGAGTAGTCGGCGCTTCGCCGAACAATTTTGCGAAGCAATGCTATACCGCCCAATGTTTCAGAACACAAACATGCTGAAGGCAAAGCACAAGACACGATGAACTAGAAAAAGGGCGATTCGTCGAGTCATTCAGCGATCGCGACTAACCTCGTTGAACGATCCGCCACAACACTAAATCTGAAAACTATAAATACTAGCCTTAGTTATTATTTTTAAAGGGCCCGAACATTATTGTTAATTTTCACTTTTAGAACATCAGTTTTAGTATTTTTCTCTCAAGTTTGGAGAGGGTTTTATGGGAGACTTGAAGAAAGGAGTTCATCTTCCCTAAGTTGGAAGTGAGTCTTCTCTATTCTTCTTCCTTTGTTTAAATTAAGGTTTAATTTCTTATACCCATTTGATTTCATTATCATTTTAGGTGTATTTTCTTATCCCTTGATGTGTGGCTAAAATCCCCCATTCTTGGGGTATGATTTAGCAAATATGTGTTGATATTATTATTGGGTCTTGCTTGCTGATAGGTTAGATGTATTTTAATGGTGATTTCACCTAGTGGTTGTGGTTTAATTTAATGGGTTTGTAGTTGCAAATACAAAGCAACCCATGTGTTTTTTGCTTGCCCGAGAGGGAGGTCGCGAAACCAAGACCGCTAGACTGATGGCCTAATGAGTGGGTCGACATGAGGTTGAGCCCTAGTCCCATTTACTAACACTCAGCTCAAGAGACTGAGTGGGGTAAGGCGTAAGCTGTCCTTCATGCGACAAATGGGTGTCCGAGAGGAACGCATTTGAAACGGGGTAAGTTGCCCGAGAGGGAACTTATTTCCATCTAAAGCTTAGCCTAGTCACTATTATCTTGCAAATTTTCTATCAAAAGCATGTACCCAACTATTTATCTCAACTTGTATTGCGGTCACACCTCAAGAACTTTCCCCCCTACTTGATTTTATCTTTATTTTTGTTGTTTTAGCTACTTGTGACAAAAACCCCTTTGATATTTGACACTTTTGTGTCACCCACTTGAATTTACATTGTTTCTATTTGATAATTTCTCAAACTACAGCTAACTAGAACAAAATTCTAGCCTAACTACTATTTTCACTACCACTCCCTTGGGACACGACCCAACCCTTGGTTGGGTTACTATATTATCGACGATCGTAGACACTCGAACCGTAGGTTAGTGTCGTTGGTCACGATAAGCATCAAAATGGCGCCGCTGCCGGGGGAGTGGTGTTACGTGATAATTTTTAGTTTAGTAAAATTTTTGTTCTTCTTAGCTGTAGTTTACTAACTTTATTTTAGTTTTTTTTGCTTGTTTATATATTGAAACAAGAAAGATGATCATGAATGGTAACTATGTGTACCAAATAGACCAAGTGCTATCTTTTCTCTACCCAGTGCCAAAAGAGGGATGGCCTCATGAAAATGAGGTCAACCTCACTAATAGAACTTGAATGAGAACTTGCGTCGTGCCACAACGTTAAATAAGACGATGTTTTGGAGGCAACCCAAAACCCTTTTTATTGCTTTAAGTTACTTTGATGAAATAATGGTGTGTTGACTGCGCAGGTGAAAGTGTGCAAGTTGAATGAGAAGTATAGATTGGTAAACGGAAAGCCCGGTCGGCGAATCGCCGATTGGTTCGGAAACCCCGACTCACTCCACCGTTTGATTCAACCCAATTTGGGATTGGGTCTGTAAAACTCGGCGGACTCAACGAAATTATTGGCAAGTCGCCGAGTATATCGGCGATTTCGATGCAGACCGCCATTTGGATCTTCATCTCGACTGAAGGTCCTGTAAAACTTGGTGAGATAAGTGAACACTTTGCGAATCGCCAAGAGGTTTGGCGATCGGGATTAATGTCACCGAATGGACAAGAACTGGACGGTCTTTCAGCCAAAGGTTTAAAAAGTTCTAACTTCATTCTCTTTCCATCACTTTTCCACCTCTACAAACTCACACTTGCACTCTAGTTTTATATTTATTGCACTTTCTGAGTATTTTGGTTAGTTGATTTGTGCACGGGATTGGATTACATTGCTTCCTAGCATTTCAATAACCATTTGAGCAGCGCAAAAATGTTAGTTTCTCAAACCCCGTGATTGTGTTGTCAAAATTGTACTCATTTGCAAATATGCTGAACCTCCTTGATTGGATTGAATTGTTTATGTGTCGATTTGTCTGCGATAACCTCGCCTGAACTACCTTAACTGTTTAAACCTTATTTTCTAATGCATCGAGTAGGGTTAGTGCGTGATGGGTGGTATTCGTATGTTATGGGTCTTGGTCAAATTTGTGCTTAAATTGTGTTTTCGGGGGTTGCAGGGCCGATTTCGAGAAGTTGGGTCAAAAGTAGGCACGTTGGGTTATTCGACGAGCTGTGACAAGCTCATCGAACCACTCTGCGGTTCACCTAAGTGCCCCATCTCGCCCTTATTATCATGCATTATTTATTGTGGCTGTTGTAACTTTCGGCGAGAAGCACAGAATTGCCAAGTGTACTCGGCGA